TTACTCCATAGAGGCCATACAATTTACACTTACATTGGAAAAATAAGGAAAAACCAGAAAAATATCTTTGTCAACAGTGTTTAACAGCGTGTGGTTAAGCCCCTCATCTTTGTCAATTTGATGCTGAAAGTCACATCTCACAAAATTTTGAATGTGCAATTTTCTTTATGAGTTAGTTTGAGTACATTTGCTTATAGTAAAAACTAGAGCTATTTTATTGATTTTATTTATGGGCATTATGTATATGTATCTTATGCCCATGTTTTCAGTGAACTGTAGGAGCCCTTTATGTGTTATAGAAATATGTGGTATGAGTTATGTTCATTTTCCCATTTTTCATTATTTTTTATCTTAGTACTTTAATGCTTTCCCATTTTTAAGGACTTTTATTCAATCCATTTAAAAGGTATACTAATGTAAGTTATGGATCAAACTTTATTGTTCTCCCATATAATAACCCATTATGTATACACTCTCTCATTTGAGTTGGCATCTTTAAAAGGTGCAAATTTCCATCTTTATGTATAAATAAGTCTTGATAGAGCTACACATTTATTTATGTCAATAGTATTTTCGTTTTTAAAAGCTAGAACATTTTTCATTTCTCTCTCATTAGTCTCTCATTTTTATTTTATAGAATCTTCCTACTTAACTAAAATTCTATAAAATAAAAGTTTATAAGTTGTTGCGTCCCCCCAGAAATTCTGGTGATATTTTTATTGTAATAATATTGAATCAATAGGCTAATTTATGGTGAATTATTATTTTGGTGAGTGTGAGTCTTTCAATCATTTCTATTCTTCTGTGTCTTTTGTAAAAGTTTAACTTCTGTGCTCACTTGGGCAGCACATATACTAAAATTGGAACGATACAGAGAAGATTAGCATGGCCCCTGCGCAAGGATGACACGCAAATTCGTGAAGCGTTCCATATTTTTAAAAAAAAAACCAAAACAGTGGAATATTTTGAGAAAGTTAAATAACAATATTAGTAGTAGTAGTAATAATAATAATAATAATAAAAAGACATTGTTTGTGCCTTGTCATGAAAAGAGTTCCAAAGTATATTGTTAGTGAAATAAGCTCAGGACAAGAGAATGGATGCAGCATGCTACTTCTTGTGGATAATAAAAACAGAAAAAGAGGGGGGTTGAAGTTTAACTTTTATTTATATTGAGCTTGTGCATTTTTCTTGTTTACTCATTGATATTTTATGATCACATCATTTTATACCTTAATTATATATCAATTTCTACATTAACATTAATAATTAAGTAGCTGAAAGGAGGACCTCTGTAAAATGATATGTAGATTTCACTGTAAGATACCTGTGTAACAAATCATAATTCCAAATATCTACTGGATAATCTTTCATCTGACTGCCATAAAATCTGTTTTTGTTTTTGGTACTAGGTTGCTTTTTCATGTTTGCTAAAGCACAGTAATTCTACAGGTGGAAAATTATAGCTTGCCTAATTAGACTGTTGACTAGTTTATTAATAAACCAGCTCTGAGGTGTATACAATGGAACAGAAGGTTAGACCCGAAGCATCATTGTCCATAGAGACTTTGTAATTAAATAAAGAAGATAAGGCAGGTGATCCTAGCAAAGAAGTCATTCTCAGCTGAGACAAGCAAGAAACTAGTGTTGTGATCACAAGTGAAACAACTAATTGGGAGACAATTTTTTAGAATGTAGGCCTTATTCTTGGCTTTCATAATGAGTTGGGATAACTAAGGAAAGAGAGAATAACAACAATCTTAATGTGACTGTTCAACCCACATTGGGATGTACTACAGTCTACTTTCTGCCTTAATCTAATTCTCTCTGCTGTTGTTGTTCTGTGCCATCGAGTCACTTGCGACTCATACCAACCCTATGTACAACAGCCCTAAACTCTGCTCTGTCCTGTGCCAGACGCACTGCCTCTGACACACCCATCCCAATTACCCCAGTTACTGAATCAATCCACCTCATCGAGGGTCTTCCCCTCCTGCGCTGGCCCTCCACCCTCCCAAGCATGATGTCCCTCTCCAAGGACCTGTCCCTCCTTACAACATGTTCAAAATATGTCAGACGAAGCCTCAGAATCCTTGCCTCCAAGGAGCAACCCAGTTTAACCTTCTCCAAGAAGAATCTGTTTTCTTAGCAGTCCTTGGTACCCTTAATACTCTTCTCCAGCACCACAGCTCAAAGGCTTCTATCTAGCCATTGTCCAACTCTCTGACACATAACAAGGAGAAAATACTAGAACTTAGTTCCATGGGGTTCTACCTCATTTGAAATATCTGTCAGTTTATGAGGTGCATGATATAGATAAATTTTTCTGGTGCGTGCAAGTGCCATTTGCAGACCTGGTTTACTCAATGGCTCTTATGGTCACCTTGTGCAAGTGACAACATTATCAGGACAGTTTACTCCTGACACGTTTGAATTCACTAACAAGTTTCCACTGTATATAAATTCTCTATGAAATACTTTTAAAGTTTTTTTTTATTAT